GTATCTCAGGGGCTTCCCCAAAGAAGAGGGAGTCAAGCTCTTCTCCAAAGCACCTGAAGGCAAAACATGAATCGACAGAAGGAAACTCATCAAGGAGAGAAGCAACCTGGAACTAAGGAGGAATTTCCTGACAGTGAGAACAATTAACCAGTGGAACCACCTGCCTCCAGAAGTGGTGAATGCTCCGACACTGGAAGTTTTTAAGAAGAGACTGGACGGCCATTTGTCTGAAATGGTGTAGGGTTTCCTGCCTGAGCAGAGGGTTGGACTAGATGACCTCCAAGGTCCCTTCCAACTTTATCATATTATTATTATCAGGGGGCTGGAAGCTAAAACATAGGAAGAACCGTTGCTGGAATTGGGCAGGTCTAGTTTTGTGAAAATAAGAAATGTGGGGGGAAGTGGTAGGAGTCTTCCAATATTTGAGATGTTCCCCCAAGGAGGAGTGGGTCAACTTATTTTACAATGCACCTGAAGAAGGCAGAACAAGAAACAACGGATGGAAACTCATCAAGGAGAGAAGCCACCTGGAATTAAGGAGAAATTTCCTGACAGTGAGAACAACTGACCAGTGGAACAGCTTGCCACCAGAAGTTGTGGGGGCTCCATCGCTGGAGGTTTTTAAGAAGAGACTGGACAGCTACTTGTCTGGAATGGCCTATAGCAGTGGTTCTCAACCTGTGGGTCGGGACCCCATTTGGGGTCGAACGACCATTTCACGGGGTCGCCAAACAACGCAGTCCGCCATTTTTTCCCCCTTTTCCTTAGCTGTGCTACTCCCTTTTATTCTATGGGCTTTTGAAAGCCAATAGAAGAGACTCTCTTGAATAGAGTCTAATTCTATTGGCTTTCAAAAGCCAATAGGAATGGTCCAGGCTGTCTCTGCCCTGCTGAGCCCGCCAAAAGTCCCATTCTGCAAACGGTGCTGCACCAGTTGAGTAGTCCTCGACTTACGACCGGCTGAGTAGTCCTCGATTTACGACAGGTTGGGGGTCGCGGCATTAAAAAGGTTGAGAACCACTGGCCTATAGTCTCCTGCTTGAGCAGGGGGTTGGACTAAAAGACCTCCAAGGTTCCTTCCAGCTCTCTTTTAATGGATTGATTAACGTGGGTGAAAGTGGCTTCCTCGTTGACTTTGATTGACAGGCGGTCAAAGAACCGTCTATTGTTCGCTGTCTTGTCAGCCAGAAGATCCTGCTCAGATCCCATCTTTATCCATCATTCACGGAACGGTGTTTCTGAATCCCAAACGCATCATGCAAGACTGTTTAAAGGATGGCTGGCCGGATCCTGGTTTAACGCCTTGTCTGAACTCAGCCGGTCTCAGTGCTGTCGGTGGAGCAACATATTAAGTCCAATTTCTAGCTTTCTTCTCAATGAGCAGCACGTTGGCCCCAAAGGGAGCTGGCCAACTGCATAATTTGGATTCAAAGCCTCGAGGTTGTTTTGACGTTTTGCAGACAAGCTCGGCAAATAAACAAATCAGGATTCTGAAACCTACTTCTCTACAGCGTAGCTCTCTTTTTTCATAAAGAAATGCTCTTGGAATACTACGCTTTTCTCAGCTAGAACTCACCGTCTCCTGGTGATTGGCCCAAAGTCACCCAGCTGGCTTTCATGCCTAAGGCGGGACTAGAACTCACTGTCTCCTGGTGATTGGCCCAAAATCACCCAGGTATCTTTCATGGCTGAGGCAGGACTAGAACTCACCATCTCCTGGTGATTGGCCCAAAATCACCCAGATATCTTTCATGGCTAAAGCAGAACTAGAACTCACTGTTTCCTGGTGATCGGCCCAAAGTCACCCAGTTGGCTTTCATGCCTAAGGAGGGACTAGAACTCACCGTCTCCTGGTGATCGGCCCAAAGTCACCCAGTTGGCTTTCATGCCTAAGGCGGGACTAGAACTCACCGTCTCCTGGTGATTGGCCCAAAGTCACCCAGTTGGCTTTCATGCCTAAGGCGGGACTAGAACTCACCGTCTCCTGGTGATCGGCCCAAAATCACCCAGGTATCTTTCATGGTTGAGGCAGGACTAGAATTCTCCGTCTCCTGGTGATTGGCCCAAAATCACCCAGATATCTTTCATGGCTAAAGCAGAACTAGAACTCACTGTCTCCTGGTGATCGGCCCAAAGTCACCCAGTTGGCTTTCATGCCTAAGGTGGGACTAGAACTCACCGTCTCCTGGTGATGGGCCCAAAGTCACCCAGTTGGCTTTCATGCCTAAGGTGGGACTAGAACTCACCGTCTCCTGGTGATGGGCCCAAAGTCACCCAGTTGGCTTTCGTGCCTAAGATGGGACTAGAACTCACTGTCTCCTGGTTATCAGCCCAAGTTACCTAGCTGGCTTTCATAGCTAAGGTGAGACTAGAACTCACCCTCTCCTAGTTATTGACCCAGCCGGCCTTTCATACCTCAGGCGGAACTAAAACTCACCATCTCCTGGAATTTGGTTTTCATGCCCAAGATTGGACTAGAACTCACCGTCTCCTAGTTTCATCTATTCGCTGGTTCAAGAAATAATACAAAGCCAGAAAAAACAGCAGAAGCATCACTATTATCCTTTCATTTGTCCGACGACAACGGAGCCCAGAATTTATGTCGCTAAGTGAGAAATTTGTTCAGCGAGTTTTGCCCCATTTTATGACCGTCCTTGCCACAATTGTTAAGGGAATCACTGCAGTTGTTAAATTAGCAGCACAGGTTGTTAAGTGAACCTGGCTTCCCCCAGTTGATTTTGCTTGTCAGAAGGTCGCAAAAGGGGATCACGTGATGCCGGGGACACTGTGACCGTCATAAGTACGAGTCGGCTTCCAAGCAGCCAAATGCAGATCATGTGACCCTGGGGATGCTGCAATGGTCGTGAAAAACAGCCATCGGTCACTTTTTAAAATGCCGTTGTAACTTTGAAACGTCACTCAATAAACTACTGTGAGTCAGGGACACCTGCAAACAGCCCAATAAATCTCCTGATGAATATTTACAGCGGCACGTGACATGCAGGTAGTCCTCAACGAACACCCACAACCAGGGTCAGCATTTCCGTTGTTAAACAAGGCGGTGGTTAAATGAGCTTTATCCCACGTTATTACAGCTGTTAAACAAATTGCAGCAGTTAAAGTGAGTCGTACAATTCTTTAGCGGCACCCCAGCCGTCGTATGTACAATTTGCCAAGAGCCCAAATTTTGATCACGTAACTGTGAGGATGCTACTACAACAGTTGTAAATGCAAGGACCGGTTGTAAGTCAAGTTTTTCGGGGAGGTGGTGTAAGTTGAAAACAGTGACGAAACAAATGACTGTAGATTGAAGGTTATCTTTATGGTTTTTAAAATGCGTTTATGTGTGTACAAATGACATATATTACACAATGTCTGTCTGTCTCTCTCTTTCTCTCTCTCTCTTTCTCTCTCTCTCTCTTTCTCTCTCTCTCTCTTTCTCTCTCTCTTTCTCTCTCTCTCTCCCCCTCTCTTTCTTTCTCTCTCTCTCTCCCCCTCTCTTTCTCTCTCTCTCTCTCTCTCTCTCTCTCTCTCTCTTTCTTTCTTTCCCTGTCTCTCTCATAAATGGAACAAAGTATGAAGCTCACCCTAGGCAAGCAGGAGAAAGTTTGAAGCTATTAAAAAAAAAAGGCTAAACTAAACGCAGAAGACATCAAAGCCCTCTTAAAAGCAAAAACAATCCCAGCAAATTAATCTTCGAGACAAGAGGCTGTGCAATTTGGGTCCAATTAGCCAGATGTGTTTTGCATGGGTAACCATGACATTTTTTAAAAATACACACGCGCACACGCACTCACCCAAAATCCTATCTGAAGAGCCTATTAAAGGCTGAGATAATTGCACCAAGAAACCACATTTGCCAGTTGTTATGAACTCATTATGAAAACAGAAAACAAAAAACAATGTTTCCTATCTGACACCCGGGAGAATAAAATCAGGATTCCCAAAAATAAATCTTGTTTGCCACCTAGGTTCCAGCTACCACGCTGACAATAAAACTCAATTTAATCCTTACAGAGTTGAAGACCAGTGCAAAATGTAAAGAGAGCTGGCCACATCATCATCATCATCATCATAGTAATAATAATAATAATAATAATGAGGAGGAGGAGGAAGAGAAGGAGGAGGAGGAGGAGAAGGAGAAAGGTTAGTTGAAACAGGAGGAAAAAAGAAAGTAGAAGGGAAGGAGGAGGAGAAGGAGGAGGAGGAGGAAGAGGAGGAGGAAGGAAGAGGAAAAGGGAGAGGAAGAAAAAGAAGGAAGAGGAGGAGGAGGAGGAGAAGGAGAAGGAGGACGAGGAGAGGAAGAGGAAGAAGAAGAAGAGGAGGAGGAGGAGGAGGAGAAGGAGAAGAAGAAGAAGAAGAAGAAGAAGAAGAAGAAGAAGAAGAAGAAGAAGAAGAAGAAGAAGAAGAAGAAGAAGACGAAGAAGAAGAAGAAGAAGAAGAATAAGAAGAAGAAGAAGAAGAAGAAGAAGAAGAAGAAGAAGAAGAAGAAGAAGAAGAAGGAAGAAGAAGAAGAAGAAGAAGAAGAAGAGGAGGAGGAGGAGGAGGAGGAGGAGGAGGAGAAGAAGAAGAAGAAGAAGAAGAAGAAGAAGAAGAAGAAGAAGAAGAAGAAGAAGAAGAAGAAGAAGAAGAAGAAGAAGAAGAAGAACTGGAAGAGGAGGAGGAGGAGGAGGAGGAGGAGGAGGAGGAGAAGGAGAAGAAGAAGAAGAGGAGGAGGAGGAGGAGGAGGAGGAGGAGGAAGAAGAAGAACTGGAAGAGGAGGAGGAGGAGAAGGAGGAGGAGGAGAAGATGATTCTACATTGCCCCAAATTCTCTCCCTAACTTTTCGTGCGCGCACGCGCGTGCGCGTGTGTGTGTGTGTGTGTGTGTGTGTGTGTGTGTGTGGATTCAGGAGCCAAACCTTCCTTTACTCCACACATCCATGGAATTTCTGCCACTTCCTCCGAGGAGAAACGCCTCCGAGAGCCCACCCACCGTAAAGGAAAGAGAAGGGAACCCACCTCTCACTGCTGCTTTTTTTCTCTTGCCCCCCTTCGGCCGCTGGGCATATCTGGAATTTGTGGGTGGGGTAGAAAAACAGGAACCCTCTTTCCAGCGCAGCCTTGAGCAAACATTACTGTAAGGGGATGAATCAATAGAGGAATGTCACACATTAATGACGTGACATTGCGTGAGTCGGCCCAGCCTGTTTGTGTGTGTCATTTTGTGTGGGGGTGTGGGTGTGAAAAGAGGTGAAAAAGTTAACTCACCCCATTTATCTCCACAGATGAAAAAAAGCGACACTTTTTTCCAATGTCATCCTGAGCTGCTCCGTTCCTAAAGTCTTGCCACAGGTAGTCCTCCAATTACGACCACAAAATTTCTGTCGTTCAGCAAGACGGTTGCTAAGTGAGTTTTGCCCCTTTTTGTGACCTTTCTTGGCCCTGTTTTACGACCTGGCTTGCCACAGTTGTGATGGGAATCCCCGCTATTGTTCAGTCAGTCACCCAGTCGTTAAGTGAATCTGGTCGCAAAAAGGGAATCATGTGACACCCTGAGGATGCTGCGATCATCACAAATACCTGTAGCCCTCGATTTATAACCACAACTGAGCCCAAAATTTATGTTGCTCAATGAGATATTTGTTAAGTGAGTTTCGCTCCCGTTTTACGTCCTTTTTTCCCATAGTCGTTAAGCGAATCACTGCAGGTGGTAACTTAGAAACACGGCTAAGTGAATCTGGTCGCAAAAGGGGAATTACGTGACACCCCGGGACGCTGCGACCGTCACAAATACCGGTAGTCCTGGATTTACAACGACAATTGAGCCCAAAAATTTATGTTGCTCAACGAGATATTTGTTAGGTGAGTTTCGCTCTCGTTTTACGACCTTTTTTCCCACAGTCGTTAAGCGAATCAGTGCAGGTGGTAACTTAGAAACACGGTTGTTAAGTGAAGCTGGCTTCCCCGTTGACTTTGCACGTCAGAAGGTCGCAAAAGGGGATCACCTGACCCCGGGGACACTGCGACCGTCATAAATACAAGTCAGTTGCCCAAGCGTCCGAATTTTGATCACATGACCCTGGGGATGCTGCAACGGTTGTTAAGTGTGAAAAACGGTCATGTCAGTTTTTCAGCGCCCTTTTAACTTTGGACGGTCACTAAATGAACTGTTGTAAGTCTGAGGACTGCCTGTAGCCATCTTATGTTTTAAAGCAGTATTTTTTTCAACCTTGGTCACTTTAAGAGAGTTGGACTTCAACTCCCAGAATTCCCCAGCCAGCGTTGAATTCTGGGAGTTGAAGTCCATCTCTTTTAAATGGCCAAGACTGAGGAATATTGTTTAAAAGGAATGCGTCTCAATCTCTTGAGGATGAGGAGAGCAGATTTACAGCAAGGAGACTTAATATTATCATTTGTGCATCCATCTCAAATGATGCTCCGCTCGTCAATTCTGTATAAGGAAGAACCGCAAAGGATTCGCAAGGATATTCAATCGACAAGGCAACTTCTATTTAATCAAAATGCTTTTAAGAAATTGAAAAAGAAGGGGAGGCATTTCTGCATTATTCCACTTAGCCAGCTCCTCTGCCGTGTTTCCTCCTTTTAATAATGTGATTTCTTCCCCCCCCCCCACCGCTCTCTCTCTGTAAAGCAGCATTAAGCCAAAGTTTTAAACTTGGCAGCTGATGGGAAAAAGGGGAAAGGAAGAAAGGGAGGGAAGGAGGGGGGAAGGAGGGGGGAAGGGGGTACAGCTGGATGGAGAGGAAGGAGGGAGGGAAGGAAAGGAAGAGAGAGGGGGAAAGCAATGGATGGAAGGAAGGAAGGGAGAACAAGAAAGAAAGAAAGAAAGAAAGAAAGAAAGAAAGAAAGAAAGAAAGAAAGAAAGAAAGAAGGAAGGAAGGAAGGAAGGAAGGAAGGAAGGAAGGAAGGGAAGGAAGGAAGGAAGGAAGGAAGGAAGGAAGGAAGGAAGGAAGGAAGGAAGGAAAGAAAGAAAGAAGGGAGGGAGGGAGGGAGATGGAGAAAGGAGGTACAGCTGAATGGAATGGAAGGAGTGGGGAAAAGCAAGGAAAGGGAAATAAGAGGAAGGAAGGAAGGAAGGAAGGAAGGAAGGAAGGAAGGAAGGAAGGAAGGAAGGAAGGAAGATGGAAAAAGGAGGTACAGCTGAATGGAATGGAGAATGAAGAATCACTTCTTCCAGGATGTAATCCCCTAGGATTTTCCATTTATTTTCCAGTGAGGAATTTAAGGATTTAAAAAAACAAAAACAAAAGCAAAGTGTAAACAACCCCCAATTAACCTAATTAATACCCTGGTAAAAAAATTAAACTTTAAAGTCGAGAAATTAGCAAGTAAAACAATTCAGAGTTAACAATTAACTTTAAAACTTGTAGGGCTGGCTGGTTCTGTGCCTTGCTCAGCCCTGTGCATGCCCCACTTCCCCATTCCTGGGAAGGAACAATCTGAGGTGCCTCTGAGCAACAGCAGAGTTCCCCACCCCCCCCCACCCAGCCTAGGAAGGAAGGAAGGAAGGAAGGAAGAAAGGAAGGAAGGAGAAAGAAGATACAGCTGAATGGAATGGAAGGAGTGGGGAAAAGCATGTAAGTCCTCGCCTTACAACCACCCCAACATTTAGGTTGCCAAGCGAGACACGTTTGTTAAGCGAGTTTTGTCCCGTTTTACGACCTTTCTTGCCACCGCTATTAAGCGAATCGCTGCACGTGTTAAATTAGCCAGGCGGTCGTTCAACGGATCGGGCTTCCCCATTGACTTTGCCGGTCAGAAAGTCGCCCAAGTGACAGGGATCACGTGACCCTGGGACCACTGCGACCGTCGTAAATAGGAGCCTGTGGCCAAAGAGTCTGAATTTTGAGAACGCGCGAGCGCGATGGTCATTAAGGGTGAAAAACGGCCGCCAATCGCTTCCCCCCCCTCCCGTGACGTTGTAAATTTGAGTGGTCGCTAAATGAACCTCTGTAAGTCGGGGCCCTCCAGGCCCGTTTGGAAAAGGAAGAATTTCGCCCCATTGCAGGGAGCTTGGGGGGGGGGGTAAAACCTCTGAGCCCCAAAACAATATGTTTGGAGGGATTAAAAACAAAGGCCTCATCAAGGCTTTTGCCTCACACCTAAAATAGCTTGCTGGAGTTCTGCCAGAATATAGAAGCAGCTGTATTTATCCCTCTTTCAGACATGGTGCAGTTTCTCTCCCATAAGCTTTCGGTCTGCGATAATTGAAAATCCACAAAAAGGCTCCTGATTTTGCTTCATTTCCACAAGTAACATGCCTGGCAGATCCGAACTACAAGGAGCCAGCTGGATATGCTTCCGTTCAGAGCGAAGCAGGGCATTCAAAAAAACAAAGGACCGTTAAGGAAGCCAGGGTTTTTCCAGGTTTATAATTCTCTGAGGGGTGGACTTTTTATTTCCTAGAATGCCCCAGTCAGCATGGGTGGACTACAGCTCCCAGAATTCTCTCATCAGCCTGAGTGGACTGCAACTTCCAGAATTCCAGTCAGCCTGAGTGGACTGCAACTCCCAGAATTCCCCCATCAGCCTGAGTGGACTTCAACTCCCAGAGCCTGAGTGGACTGCAACTCCCAGAATTCCCTCCTCAGCCTGTGCACTACAACTCCCAGAAATCACCCCTCAGCCTGAGTGGACTATAATTCCCAGAATTTCCCCCTCAGCCTGAGTGGACTACAACTCCCAGAAATCACCCCTCAGCCTGAGTGGACTATAATTCCCAGAATTTCCCCCTCAGCCTGAGTGGACTACAACTCCCAGAAGTCACCCATCAGCCTGAGTGGACTAGAACTCCCAGAATTCCATCAGCCTGAGTGGACTTCAACTCCCAGAATTCCAGTCAGCCTAAGTGGACTATAACTCCAGAATTCCCCCATCAGCCTGAGTGGACTGCAACTCCCAGAATTTCCCCCTCAGCCTGAGTGGACTACAACTCCCAGAAGTCACCCATCAGCCTGAGTGGACTAGAACTCCCAGAATTCCATCAGCCTGAGTGGACTTCAACTCCCAGAATTCCAGTCAGCCTAAGTGGACTATAACTCCAGAATTCCCCCATCAGCCTGAGTGGACTGCAACTCCCAGAATTCCCTCCTCAGCCTGTGGACTACAACTCCCAGAAGTCACCCATCAGCCTGAGTGGACTAGAACTCCCAGAATTCCATCAGCCTGAGTGGACTATAACTCCAGAATTCCCCCGTCAGCCTGAGTGGGCTACAATTTCCAGAATTCCAGTCAGTCTAAGTGGACTACAACTCCCAGAAATCACCCCTCAGCCTGAGTGGACTAGGACTCCCAGAATTCCCCCATCAGCCTGAGTGGACTAGAACTCCCAGAATTCCAGTCAGCCTGAGTGGAAGGAAGGAAGGAAGGAAGGAAGGAAGGAAGGAAGGAAGGAAGGAAGGAAGGAAAAGGGAGGGAGGGAGGGAGGGAGGGAGGGAGGAAAGAAGGAAGGAAAAGAGAGGGAGGAACAAGAGAGAGGAAAGGAAGGAGAGAGAGAGAAGGGAGAAAATGGGGGAGAGTGGAAGGAAGGAGAGAGAGGGGAGGAATGAAAGAAGGAGGGCAGAAAGAAGGAAGAGGAAAGACTGGAAGGACAGGGAAAGGAGGAAGGAGAAGGAAGGGAGAGAATGAAAAGAAGGAGAGAGGGAAGGAAGGAAGGAAGGAAGGAAGGAAGGAAGGAAGGAAGGAAGGAAGGAAGGAGAGTGAAGGAGGAAAGGAGAAGAGGGATAGGAAGGAAGGAGATGGAAGGAAAGAAAAGGAAGGAGAACCAAAAAATAAAGGAAGGAGAGAGAAAGATGGAAGGAAGCAAAAGTGCAGAAAGAAAAAATAAAGAAGAAAAAATGGAGAGGAGGAGGAGGAGAAAGAGGAATTATTCAGATCCTCCTGGAGGAGAATATTTATCTATGCAATTGCCAAGAGTCAAGACTGACCTAGCAGCCCAGCACCAAAATCCATTGCAAATTGTTTTATTTTATTGCTGAATAATTGCCCTGTCAGCGTTTCCTGGAAATTAGCATGCGGCCCAGCCATTAAAAACCTTTAGCGGTTGCTATTAAAACTATAAAAAGAGGAGAAGGGGCAGAACCAGGGAACCTATCAAAGCCGCTGCCATAAATAT